TAAGGTCTGGATCCCTCCAGGAAAGATTTTGGCCTCAGAAATTTGGGGGTTGGACTGGCCTGGGAGCAGGGCCAGGAAAGATGCTGGTCTAGGGCAACTGATGGAAGTGCCACCCAGAGATACAAAGGGAGATGGGGGTGGAAAGAGGCCCCAAGGGCTCCTGGGGACTGCACTGAGGAACTGGCTTGGTCTCGATGCAAAGGATCAGGAAGCAGTTGTGGTTCCTATGGTGTCTGTGGCCCCAAGACAAGGAATGGGACAGGACACAGGCCAGGAGGAAAGAAGGGGGGGTTGTGACTGAGGCTGGGGGAGTCAAGGCACGTAGGGCACTATCAACTTACCCCAGAGATAGTCCTGCTGGTTGTGCAGGCCCAGGGAAGCAGAGGGAGGTGAAGGTGGGGTCAGGCTCAGAGGTCTCCTGGGGCTCTAGAAGGACCTGGGTTGTTCTGGATGCAAAGGATCAGGAAGCAGTGGTGGTTCCCCTGGTGTCTGGGTGCCAAGACAAGGAATTGGACAGGACCCAGGCCAGGAGGAGAAACAGGTGGAGGAGATGGGTGGATTAATGAGGCTGGGGGCATCAAGGTGATTGACTTACCCCAGAGAGAGGCCTGTGGGATTGTTTGTTTTTTTTAAAGCAGCTGTGATGTAGCCCTCTTCAGTCCTTGGAGATTCAATGACTGGAATTTCCAACTTTCTCTCATCAACTAGCCTTCCCTAGTTGAGAGATTTTTTTTTTCCCCCAAATTCTTGGTCAGCCAGTTTAGCTAAGACCCAGCAAGCAGCTCCTGCTGGGCCTGCAGCTTGGCACAAGGAGGACATTTGGGAGGGTGCAGTGTCCTGCCACACTCCCTCAGCCCTTACTGGCTCAGGTCTTGAACAGCTTACAGAAGGCAATTCCTACCTTGGCAGTCATGTCTGTGGTGGTCCTGGAGCGATCATATGTCTGGAAGTCCTGGTAGTTGCACTCCCTTGTGCAGCCACCAAGAGCGGGTTGGAGCCATTTGTGTTTTCCTGTCTGGCGAGGAGGGCCCGGTATGCCGTGACACCCAGGGAGCTTGACAGGAGGTCTCCTTGGCCACCACACCTGCAGCTGCTGCCTTCCTGGCTACACACAAGCACCTGCTGGCTGTCAGAGATCAGGTCATGCTCTCCTTTCTGGACCACTGTGATGTTCCCCAGGACCTGGCTGAGCTTCAACACAGATCCACTGTGGTCTTTGGCATCCACAGAACCTGTGGGCACAGCTTCCCAGAGTCTGCCAAACTCCACAAGGTTGGGAGTGAAAACGGCCTTCTGGTAGCCATGAATAAAGGGTGGCTGCTGTGCAATCAGCCACAGGCCATCCGTGTCAGTGATGATGGGGATGTCCTTGGCGTTAGTTGCTTCCAAAATGCCCCTGACATTGTTGAGGAGGAAGTCATCTCTACCTAGGCCAGGCCCCAGGACAAAGGCGTGCAGCCTGGAAAGCCGTTTCTCCACCTCCTGGATAGCATCAGAACTGTCAAGGAACAGAACAATCAGCTTGGGGCTATAGGACTTGATCGCAGGCTCAGCCTCCCTGGCACAGAACACACGGATCAAATCTGCACTCACTTTGAGAGGTGAGATTCCTGCATAATATGGAGCTCCCGTGTACTCTTGACAGTCAGCCTCCTCTTCCATCTTGCCCTTTGTGTTTCTTCGAGGTTAGAACAGGTACAATAGTTCTCACCAGCTGAAAGAGTTTCTCCATGTCCTTTGTTGAATGTGCCTTATGGGGTAAGAATGCTCTTTGTAAAACTCGCCCAAAGGTGCGGATTGCCACACAGCAGACACCCTTGGCATCCCACCAGACTTCCGGGTTCCCAGCAGCCCTCGAGCAGCCTATTGACCACAGCCATTGGCCTTGTTACCAGTTCCCTGAGAGATTTTTAATCATTACATCTATCTCAATGATTGTTATCTGTCTGTTTAAATTATTTATGTTATTTTGATTTAACTTTGGTAGGCCATATATTTCTAGGAATTTATCCATTTATTTTAGATTTTCTAGTTTAGTGCAATATAGATTTTTAAACTATGTCCGTATGGATTTCTGAATTTCCTTAGGGTCTGTTGTAATGTTTCCCTTTTCATCTCTGAGTTTATTAATTTAGTTCTTCTCTCTTTCTTTTGGTTAATTTAGCTAAAGTTTTGTCACTCTTTTAGTATCTTTTCAAAGAACCAACTCTGTTTCAGTGTCTCATAGGTTTGGGCATGCTGTGTTTTCATTTTCATTCAGTTCTAGGAATTTTAAATTTTCTTTCTTGTTTTCTCCCTTGATCAAAATTTAATTCACTAGTGTGCTGCTTAGATTCTATGAGTGTGTGTACTTCTTCCCATTTTAATTGTGGTTGATATCTAGCTTCATTCCTTTGTGGTCAGAATACAGGATGATATTTCAATTTTCCTAAATTTGTGGCAACCTATGTTGTGTCCTAACATGTAGCCTATTTTGGAGAACGTTCCATGGGCTGCTGAGAAGAAAGTTTGTTCTTTGATATTTGGGTGGAATGTTCTGTAGATGTCTGTTAGGTCCATTTGATTTATAATGTCATTTAATACCAGGGGTTTCTCCATTTAGTTTTTGTCTGGCTGACCTGTCTATTGGTGATGGTGGAGTACTGAAGTCACCCACTAGGACTGTGTTCGTCAATGTGTGGTTTTAGATCTAATGATGTTTCTTTTATGAAATTGGGTGCTGCTATGTGTGGTGTATGTATGTTCAAGATTGAAATATCTTCCTGATGTACTTTTCCTTTAATGAGTATGATGTGACCTTCCCTGTCTCTTTTGACTAGTTTTAGTTTGAAGTCTATTTTGTCAGATATTAGAGCAGCTATGCCTCCTCGTTCTATTTGCTTGGAATATCTTTTTCCATCCTTATACCTTAAGATGGTGTTGATCATTATTGGTGAAGTATGTTTCTTAGATGCAGGAAATTGATGAATCCTGTTTTTTGTTTGTTTGTTTGTTTGTTTGTTTGGTCTTTTTGAGACAGGGTCTCCCTGTAGCCCCAGCTGGCCTGGAACTCAGTTTGTAGACCACACTGACCTTGAACTCACAGAAATCCGCTTGCCTCTGCCTCCCAAGTGCTGGGACTGAAGGCGTATGCCACCATGCCTGGCTCAAGGATCCTGTTTTCTAATCCAACTAGTTAGTCTGTGTCTTTTTACTGAGGAGTTGAAACCATTAATATTGAGAGTCATTATTGACCAGTGTTTATTATACCCTGTTATGTTGGTGCTGTAGTACTATTTTCTTAGACTTCTTTTGGCTGACTGTCTGGGATTATTTGAGAGTGTTTAATCTTCTCTTCAGACTAAAGTATTATTCCACCAAGTATTCTCTGTAGAGCTGGTTTCATGGACAAAAATTCCTTAAATCTGTTTTTATCATGAAAGTTTTCGTCTTTCTCTTTCAATTACAACTGATAGCATTGCTGGGTATAGTAGTCTGGCCTGGAATCTGTCTTCTTTCATGACTTATATGACATTGGTACAAGCCCTCTAGCTGTCAGAGTCTCCATTGAAAAGTAAGTTGTTATTCTGATAGGCCTGCCTTTATGTGTGACTTGATTTTCACCCGCACAGCTTTCAATAACTTTTCTTTCTTCTATTCATTTAGCGTTTTGACTATTATATGATATGGGAGGTTTCTTTTTTGGTCTTCTATATCCTTTTGTACTTTGATAGGTATCTTCCTAGATTTAAGAAATTTTCTTCTATGATTTTACTAAAAATATTTTTGTCCTGGGTTTCTCCTCCTTCTTCTATGCCTATGAGTCATAGGTTTGGTCTTTTTATCTTTTTATTGAACTCTAACTTCATGTTTTGAATTTTTACTTTATTCGTTTTTGTGGTCTTCACTTAGTCATTTATTCATATCCTCTTTTGAGTTCCTTGAATACATTCATAATTTCTATTTTGAAATCACTTTCTTGTGCAGCCACTAGGTTGCCATTCTCAGGAAATATTATGATGTGGATACTATTCTGTAGTAGACATTTTATCTTGGTTATTCACATTGTTTGTGTTTTTTCAACGAGAACTAGACATCTGGACTTGTGTCGTTGGTGGTATGGGTAAGTGATATCATCTTTGTTGAATGGTTATTTGTATCTTTGTTTGCTGTTTCCCCAACTTGTCAGGTTATGGCCCAGCTGAGAGGTATTTGGGTGTTCAGTTTGGGGGCCACTTTATGTTGATGTGCAAATAGGTGTAAGATGTGGTCTCAGTTAAGTTAAGGATAGGTGCAACTTCTTTTTTGTCTTTTTTGAGATAGGGTCTCCCTATAGCTCCAGCTGTCCTGGAACTCACTATGTAGACCAGGCTGGCCTTGAACTCATAGAGATCCGCCTGC